CTTACCCTTAAAAGTAGACAGGGTGTCTGCCTCACAGACTAAAACTGGTAGTTGGTTCCACAGGAGAGGAGCCTGAAAACTAAAAGACCTGCCTCCCATTCTACTTTTAGAAATTCTAGGAACCACTAGTAAACCTGCAGATAGAGAGCGAAGTGTTTTGTTAGGAACATAAGGAACGATCAGATCTCTGATATAAGATGGAGCTTGGCCATTTAAGGCCTTATGTGTGAGAAGGAAGACTTTAAATTCTATTCTGGATTTAACAGGAAGCCAATGAAGAGAAGCCAGGATAGGAGAGATATGAACTCTCTTTTTAATTTTCATCAGAACTCTGGCTGCAGCATTTTGGATCAGCTGAAGGCTTTTAACTACAGGTTATGGACTTCCTGACAGTAAAGAATTACAATTGTACGGGGGCTTGCTACTGTGTTGCAGTGTTTAGTGCACCAACCCATGTATGGAGGCCTTAGTCCTCGACGTGGCCGACGAATTCGACCTGTGGTCATTTGCTGCATGTCTCTCACCCTCTCTCATAACCCCTTTCCTGTCAGACTACTGTCCAAACAAATGAGCAACTAGCCCTGTAAAATCTCAAAAAAAAAAAAAGAAGAGAACAGTCCAGCCTTGAAGTAACAAACACCTGGATTGATTTCTCAGCATCACCCCTGAACAGGAAATTTCTAATTTTTGCAATATTCCGCAGATGAAAGGACATTCTAGAAACTTCTTTGATATGGGATTTAGATGACAGGTCCTGATCAAAATAACACAAAGATTTTTTTACTTCATTATCAGAGATGAATTAAATCTCATCCATTTGAAGTGATTGACTAATTAGCTTCTTTTTCAAAGAGTCTGGTCCAAAGACTATAACCTCTGTTTTGTCTGCATTCAGGAGCAGAAAGTTTGTCATCTTGGTAATGGATTAGGTTTATCGTGTTTTATAGACAGATAAAGCTGAGTGTCATCAGCATAACAGTGGAAATTAATCCCATACCGTCTGTGTTAAAACTGTATTTCATGCATTATAAATAACATCAAGCAACATACAGTCTTTGTATTTTTCAAGTAAACTAATAAAATGTTTAAATTACATTATTTGGTGATTTCAGAGTAAAAAATTGTACATGCAAATTGCTGTACCATGATGATTGATGACTAGTTAGCAACTTTGTTGTTTGTGTGCATGTGTGTTTTAGATGGCAAAAAAATACAGTGTTTAAGATGCTCTGAAGATGATTATAGATGGGAATTCAAGTGA